AATATAAATAAAATAAAAGTAAAAATAATCCTAACTTGCATCTTAAATATATCTTTATTGCCAAAATAATTACCATAGAAAAATAGTACAAACTTCACTTTGGGGCTTGGATGAAAATAAAATGAGTGTAAAGTTATAAATTATTGAAACAATTATGAAAAATTTGAAATTAAACTCTCAAGACATAAACATTAATTTGTGTTCAGCACGTGGAGCAACTTATCAATCTGGCTGCTTATATTTGCTAATATCTTCCCCGCCACAAGACAAAGATTTGACTTTTATAATTAAGACCATATTTAAAATTTAAAAATCAGCACTCTGCTCATTAATTACCAATCAAGCAGTGGCTCAGCGTATAAGCCAATTGGATAATAGCCTCAGCGTCTTTGGCGGGAGTTCGGATTCAAAGAACTGCACAATTCTCAATTGTCCTTTTTTGGTCTTTGATATTTAATTAAAAAAATAAATTTGCTAAATGCTAAAATTAATGAGCGTGCCGATGTTTGAATTTTAACATTAACAAAAAAAAAAACACATATATAATCCTATCGGGCTTAGTTGGGTTAATGGGTGAGCATGATTGGGAATTCCCCAACCTATATTCGAATCCTCTCTTATGCGGCGAGACCCTTTAAGTAGAGAGAAAATAATTGTAGGTCTTGCACCTGCGGAGTTGGTTGTTGATAGGCTCGTCGCCGAGGGAATACCAAACACCTCCTAAGTGGTGTGACAGCGGGTGGATACTCTTGTTAAAAAAAAGACTTATTTTCAATGGACTACACTAGGGATGTTAAAATCGGGCCACGAATCGGGTTCGAGTCCAATCTTAAACTGTTCCGACACTATTCGACCCGACCCAAACCTGACCCGTTTTTGCAAATGGGTCGATATCTTGAACACGAATCCGACCCACTTTGGGTCTGGGTCAACCCGAACCCGACCTGCTTCGAATATGTTTTACTAAAAAATTTGTTATTTAATTCAATTTATTTAAATCGAAATCAAATTAAGGTAAGATTTGCTTCAATCAATTTAAAATAAATCAAGCTTATTTTAATTTGGGCAATCATGTTTATTATTTTTTAGAAATATCATTTATTTATTTCATAAAAATATTTTAAAATTCTCCAAAATTAATTAAAAAAGGGTCAAATTGGGTTGATTTCGGATTTCCGGGTCAATCCGAACCCGACTCGGTTTTGCAAACAGGTCGAAATTCTTGACCTGAACCCAAAAATTTTGGGACGGATTCAGGTCGGATTTTCAGATCGGGTCAAATATTAACACCCCTAAATTACATTAATAAAGTTATAAGGTTAAAACTTTCAAGTACATTAAATATATTTTAGAATTATAACTTTTACAAAACAGTAATTTATAGTTGTTATGATTTTAGTGTTACCGATTGAATGGTTCTTATCATTTATGAGCGTTGAAAAGCTAGTCAATCGCAGAAGTAGGGATTCAAATTAAACAAAACAAAACAAGCCCACTGATCTTCGCGCACAATTAAATAATCAACATGCAGACATATTAGATTTATTTATTTATATTTACGGCATTGACGGGCTCTTTGTCTGTTGCAATAAATAAAATTTCATGATGTACGGGATGTGCCGGTCTATCTTATATATATATAATTTGTGGGGCCTGGAAGTAAACTGTATAATGAATACAAAATAAGAAATTCCCCCAAAAAAAAAAAAATACAAAATAAGAAAAATAGAAAACTACAAAAAATAAAAGAATGTCAAGATTTAATATAACAAAATTTGAAAAAAAAAAAGACCGATCCACATCACACTAATACAAATACTATAAAAATTAGGAGAAATTTGTAGATATCTCTCATCTCTCTTTACTTTTTACCACTCTTGCATCGTTTTCTCACTCAAAACAAGAGAGAAAGTCAATTAAATAACATTAAATGATGTCACCCTTAAGAAAAAAACGAGAAAGAAAGCTATCCAATCCACCTTGAAGCATTGCGGCGCTAGTTTGCAACGTTGCGGTGCTCAAACCTCTATCATTGGTCCATCTAGCAGTACTGCAGTGTCTAATTTAAAGCAATGCAGCGCTAAGCTCTATGTCTTTCTCCCAGTAAACTTTAGAGCATCGGGGTGCTCTGGAATATAATTCTTAGGGCACTCGAGTGCATAGCACCAAAGCTTTGCACTTGAACCTAAGCAGGGGGAGGACCCTCACACCTCCCAGCGAGCATGACAAATTGAATTGAGGTTCGACGTAATAGTACAACCCAATTGATTGATGAAATCAGATTCTACACATATTAACACCTTGGCAATCGAGGAGATTCTTCTTTTGTTTCTTTTGGGGTTTTACACTTGATACATCACCAAAAATCTTCTTGATCTGGCATGAATCTCGATGCAAGTTTGAATTGTGTACTTCCAAATTATATTAAGAACCATCCAAATTTCAATTTCCTTAATCTTATAGTCAAATTGAATATCTCAACGAGATAAACCCAATGAGAGTAAATCCAATCCAAGCCCAAATGAGCTCGAATCAAAGGATCAAAATATTTTTGGAAACTTCAGAACATCAATTAGATGACCAAATGATATTCAAATATGACATACTTATAGTCAAATTGATCAGCTCAACGAGAAGAATCTAACGAGCTCAATATCATTGAATTCTGACATCATTACGATATATAATTATTTAAAGAATTCTCTATGATCAAGAAAATTGATATTAGCCGTCCGATATAACATTCTAAATTTACCCTAAATCTTCTCCATATTTACTCAGCATGTCACACCCAAAAAATTATAAATAGTCTTCCATTATTCACATAAAGTGGAGAGGAAAGAAAGGAGGAAAAAGATAAAAGCTTTAAGGCTTGAAGAATCTTGGACTTCGAACCCGGCACCATTGCCGATGAATCTGCACCACCAAACTGTCGCTACGGGACCCCTGCTCAACCATCACCATTGGATCTTCATTTGGTAGCCTTTATCGGGCCTTCCTCTAATCACTATGATCTCTTCGACCACAGTCGCTTACCGACTATAATCCCTTCAACCTCTATCGCCCACTGATTATGGTCCTTCAAACCATTGTTGTCTGATTACTATCCTTCATACCACTCTAGCCCCTCCATCCCCCTCTGCCCCCCCCCCCCAACTATGGTCCCTTCGACTGCCATTGCCCAACTATAATTTTTTCGACCACTGTCATCCGATTATGATTCTTCCAATCACCATCGCTTGCCGACTAGTGTCCCTCTGACCACTGTTGCTCGATTACAGTCGTTATGACCACTGTCGTCCTACTACGATCCTTTCGACTTTCTTCTCATCAACAATGGTCTTCCAACCACTATCGTTCGATTACTATCCTTTCAACTTCCATTGCCCTTAGACTACTGTCATTCCAACCACTTTTGTTCGACTATGATTCTTATGGCCACTGTAGCCTAAACACAATCCTTCCATCCAAAAGAACATATCATTACTCTCTTGAGAATAACTCTCATGACATTAGGTTCTCTGGTCTCATGCCATGTAAAGTATTTTACATGATGTGTATTAGGTATATGGAGCCAATGCCTTCCCATGAGGAATGACATCATTTGTAATTAACTATAACCAATATTAGATTATTGATTCAAACTGGGCAAGGCCCATGATTTTAATTAAATATAAATAATAGTAGATTATATATATATATATATATATATAGAGAGAGAGAGAGAGAGAGAGAGAGAGAGAGAGAGAGAGAGAGAGAGAGAGAGAGAGAGAAAGAGAGATTTTAATATCTTAGATATGCAAAAAAATTTAGTATATATAGGTAGAAATTTTATGAGAAACTATAATTTTTTACATGTAAACCCATGAAAGGTAGAAAACATGGGATTAGACTAAATTGAAATGATAATTGTACATATATAAATATGCTCTTCTCCGCAATGATTACCCGTGGACGACCACGACGTGGACTTCAAGAAACGACAAATTTACATCATTATCAAGTTGGTATATTCTACACAGTATTTGATATGCAACTTTAAAAATTGAATAATCGTTTCACAGAGGCTAATACAGAGTTACTTTTGTGTGTTGCTCGTTTGAATCCATCAAATTTGTTCCATGCATTCAATAAAGAGCAGTTAATTAAAATGATAAACCTATATCCAAGCGATTTTACTCCTTCCGATTTGATGATTCTTGATAATCAATTGGAAGCTTATATTATGAATATGCAATTTGATATTCAATTTTTAATGTTAAAAGATATATGAAGTCTTGCTGAAAAAATGATTCATGTCAGAAAGGCAATACTTTATCCTCTTGTTTTTAGGCTATTGAAGTTGGCATTAGTATTACCCGTTGCAACAACATAAGTTGAAAGAACATTTTCTGTTATGATTATCATAAAAATTTGACTATGCAATCGAATTGGAGATCAGCGAATGAACGTTTTACTCGCTTATATTGAAAAAGAATTCTTAGATTGTATTGACAATGATGTTATTATTCAGCTTTTTCAAAATATGAAGAACATAAGGTATAAATTGTAAGTGTACTGCATATTATAATTAACAATTTATTGTTTAAATAAAAAAATTTTAAAACTGTCAATGCCGGTCCAAAGCCCGGATGAAAAAAGTTGAGGGATTTAAAAAAAAAAAAAAAAGCTTAAGGCCCCCTCTATAAAAAGTTTCTGGCTCCACCACTGCCTACAAGTTTAATTTAATCATAAAAAGCACACAACGATGCTTTTATTTATGACATTTAAGTCCGTTAAAATAAACTCACACACATCACATACAGAAGACTCGAATTCAAGACCTCTTAGGCCACGTTTGGAACGGCTTTCTTCCTACTTCTTAAAATAACTTTTTTGTACAAAAGTTAAAATATTTGTACTAAAAAGTTGCTTTAAGAAGCAATAAAAAAACTGTCTCAAACGAAGTCTTAATTGACAGCCAAAGCTCCCAATTAATAGATCAAAGAAAGATGCTTACATGCAGAAATGTAAATTGACATAAAATTATGTTATAAATACAAATAAAACTGTTTATATATCATAGTTTAAAACAAGAACAGGCATAAATCGAAATAATTAATGCCAATTATACTTTGGACGGTACATAAAAACGTCCCTTTCGTTTATTGGTTGTGTAGGTCTAGCATTGTCTTCGAATTCCTGCAAGCCAAACAACCAGATTATTTATTAGAATTATTAGGCTTTTTTACATGAGAACTAGATTACTTTCTTAGGAATCAGGAAGCTACCAGCCTATCACTTGAATTTTTATTAGGTCCGGTGTCCTGACATATCTCTATGTTTGGACACCAGTAAAATGATGCCACCTGCTCTTACTTTTTATCACGCGACCCGACGACCCGACCCAATGTATTGCTATGTAGGCTGATTTGTGCAAACCGGGATATTGCTAGGTATTGCTTGGTAACGAGAAATACCATTCTGTTAAGACCAATACCTAGCAATACCGAGCAATACCCAATTTTTTGCTCGGTACTGCTAGGTATTGCTCGGTATCGCTAGGTATTGATCTTGATGGAGCGGTATTTCTCGTTATTTCCAAGCAATACCTAGCCATATCGAACAATACCTAGCAATACCCGAACATAGCAATATTGGGTTCCGGTTCGGGTCGGGTCGTCGGGCCACGCGGTAAAGAGTAAGAGCACGTGGCGACATATTATTGGTGTTTGGATGTAGAGCTACGTCAGGACATCGGACCTAATAAAAATTCCTAGCTACCACTTCGCTAATTTTATCATGTTTTAATAAAATCATTATTTCGTAAACGTATATTGTGGTAGCTTTAGAGTCTTTTTGAGATAGCTGCAGTGTTTCATAAAGTTGATTGTAAAATTATTTTAGAAAAAATAATTTTGATATGTCGATTGCAAAAAACAGTTTTATGTGACAAAAATTTCTAAGAAATGATGAAAATAGTAAAATATAAATAGTCAAACGAAATTATTGTTACGGTGTGAAAAATAAAATAATGAGAAAGCTGTCCCAAATAGATCTCAATTATTTGAGAAATCTTTCCCATTTAACTTTTTAAATTACAACTATAATTTCATTTGACTATAACTTTTTTTATTACTTTCTCAAAGTTTTTAAAATTTTATTTGATGAAAAGCAATCAGAATTGTTAATATGTTATACCTTAAAAAAAAACATTAATTTGAATTTTTTTAAAAAGAAAATATTTATAACATTCATAATGACTTTTAAAACAATTTATTTTCTTCACAAAAGCTTCACAATCATCCTTACAAAATAATTCAGCCATCTCAAATAGATCATTATTCTCTAATAAATAAATATTATAATGTAATTTTATACTTACATCATGGACAGCCTCTCGTAGTAGCCTCACCTGTTCTCTTGAAACAGTTCGAATCTGGATGCCAAAAATAGTTGAATGGGTCAGATGTGAATCACATATACTCCTTTGAGATAAGTTTCGTTTGAGATAGCTTTCTTATTATTTTCTAAAGTAAATTTTTAGTACAAAATTTATTTGAATTAGAAATTTGTATACTATAAATTATTTTAGAAAACAATAAGAAAACTATTCCAAATGAAGCTAATTTACCAAAAAAAAAAAAAGCATCATAAGAATTATTTTCTTAATTCTTTTAAAACTACTCATGCTAGACCTGAAATTAGGCATTGCTGTAAATTGGTTCGATTTGTGGTTCAACGTTAGGAAGTTTTTTTTTTTTTTTTTTTTTTTTTTTTATCGATTGAAGCTAATTTTGTTGCTAAATCTTTGTCACTTAGGGAACGGCTCGGCAGGAAAAATTAGCTCAACCTTTTTACACCCAATTCGTTAGTAGAAGGGTGTTTAATAATATTTAAGGCATTTTTTTTACTGTTTTTTTTAAATGTAGTACAAAAATTTTTAGTTTAAAAAAAATTTGTACTAAAAATTTATTTTTGAAAAAAAGTAAAAAAACCGTCTCAAATGAAATTTATGATAATTGTATTATTCATATGAATATAATATAAAACGCAACAATGGTGGTGACCATTGGCCAGCGAGGGCAATGGCAATTGGCGGCGAGCAGCAATCATTGGTGATCAGTTTCATGCAACAGAGATCGCCACGGCAGGTGGAGATAGGGTGCAACTAATGAGGATTCCGATAATAATGATAGAGATTTATAGAGTATTTGAAAATCACTCAAATCTAACAATTTAAAAAAAAACATCAAAATTGAACTAAATGAACTTAAGGGTGATAACTATTCATTAATATTTTTCTAAAATTATAGTTACAATTTTAAATCACAATTTTTGAAACATAAAATAGATGTCATTAGACTATCTAAACATTTTTTATATAAAGTTTCAGCAAATTAAATAACTAAAACTTTCTAATAATCAAATATGCAGAAGAAAGAGAAAGAGAGAGAATGCAGGTTAAGTAGTAAATAATTTAGAGAAAAAACCTTTTTTATGATCGTCCATGTAACGCCTTCGGTGCAAGGTGGAGTTGTAAGCGAGCCCATGTACCTGTAATACTTTTTGCTACCCCACCTCACTCTCCACGGATTCACCCAACCCAACTTCTCTTCCGCTCCTTCCTCCAAATCCGTCAGTTTTTTAATATAACTAGCCACCTTTGTTCAACACAAATCAATATATAGTCAGTGCCACTCAGACGAGAGATTATTCTGTACATAAATAGAATGTATTCGGAGATGAATACGAACGCGCCACATCACCGGATGCACTGGATCCCGGTGATGTGGCATGCCCGGATTAGCCTCCAAATATGTTCAGATTCCGCACTATCTGTTATTATTATTATCATTATTTTATTTTTCATTCTTCTTTAATTTTCTTATTGTACTGTTGAGAAAATTTCCTCAATTTATAATTACAAGCTAAGGCCAAAAATAGCAAAATAATAAAAGCACCCATTCCTTTGTTCACTGTGAAAGTATGATTGAATAGCTATTTATTGTGAGGAATATAAAAAGGAATATAATTACCTTTGCCAGGAACCGATCAGGACGTCCCAGTTGGTACAAGATGCCCACCACAGCGATCTTTTTATAAGCGCTCTCGTGGACCATGTGCAGCTCCAAATGATACCTACATTTATCACGATATAATATGGAATTAATACAGATGGTTCCAAAAAAAGCTCTATCTGTTGAATAGAAATTATTACGAGGCTCATCTCCTCTCCAACTATTATAGTTGGAAGTAAGCTTGCACTAAGATATTTTAAATTCGAGTTTTATATATATGATGTATTTTTAAATTTGTCTTAATTGATGTAAATGTGAAGATCCTCAAAGTTTAGATGGGTTCTTTGGCTATATGAACTATATGTGTTGCAAGGTGCAAATTATAAAAGCTAATTACAAAGTAGACCCAAAAGAATTGATGCGACTTTAAGTTTTGTATAAAGTTGTCACACCATCTCTTGGTTGAGTAAAAACAAAAGAAGGATTAGCAGAGAAGTCCTTGAGAGACTAATCCCAATGTACTTCTTTGTATTACTATTCTACAAATAGCACATCTTTACAAATGGGTTAATAACACCTATTTATAGACTCTAATGGTAACACAAAAGTTATACAAATATTTAAATAAAGTACAACTGAAAATACAAACATAAATTTGGATCAATGTCCTAACAATCTCCACATTAGTTCATATTTTACAAAACATTTGAATAAATCCAACCATCTCCCAAATTTATCACCACTGCTAAGCTGGAGTCTGCTTTGAGCCCAATTCCTTGCAGTTTCAACAAATCCGGGCAATTTCTCTTAAAGTGCCCCTCTTTATGGTAGTATAAGCACTTCTTGTTAGACTTGATTCCTTTGAACTTTGGTCTTCCTCTTGTAATCAAAATATTGACAATGTTTTCTTCTTTCTATTTAGATTTTCTCTTAACATCCTTTAACATTAAAATGGCCTTAACTTCTATCATTGTCAAAGTCTTCTTCCCATACAACATTATCTATGATGTGCTCACAGGCTTTTGGCAGCGACCTAAGCAAGATGATGCTCTGATCTTTTTTATCAATTCGCACGTCAACATTCATAAGATCAAGAATTATCTTGCTGAAGTCATCCATGTGCTTTCGAAGATCCTTTGATTCTGCCATTTAGACGGTATATATCTACTTCTTCAAGATCACACAATTTGCAAAGAACAATGATTCTAGTTTCTCCTATTCTTCGATGGGTGTTTTTTCCTCGGCAACCTCTCGTAACACCTCGTCACAAAGAGAAAGCAAGATTGTACTGTGAGCCTTCAATTGCATTTCCCTTACCTACACCCGATCCTTCAATGCCGCAAATCCATTTTTGGATATCGCCTCGGACAACCCCTAATAACTAACACTACCTTTATCTTGATCCTCCACATACTGAAATCGTTTTCTACAGTGATTATGTTGATCTCAAATCTTCGTACTTACATGATTTTCTCTTCTTTCTATCGGTCTTCTATGAATGAGCCTGCACCTCCAACCCGAAGCCACTCTTCCGTTCCAATCCTCCACTTCTCTCGATCCTGTGGATGAATCCGACCTTACACGATAGCACATGTTCATGTGCAATCACTCAAACTCCCGCATGCGATATGATTTTAACCTAGGTGACCACATGCTGCATCGCACACACGCCCGCCTTCCTGCGTATCGCATGAAATGCGCCGTCTTCCTCATGAGTGATCGAAGTCACATCTCCCGATCATGGCACCTGTGGGAACTACAGGCCACGAAGTCGTCTCCCGCTCGCCTCATGTGTTCGAGCCTGGTTGAACCTCCGTGCTGTGTCTGATCCCAAACGGAACCTCCCGTGGTTGTGTCTAGCCTCCAAACTTCCGAGCCCGACCTTGTGTCTCCATGCCACACGCACTCCGTTAGATAGCATGCTCACTTCCGCTCAAGCGCAACGCCCAATCCCGAGCGACCACCCTAATTGTGGCACCAGGTTGTTCCGCGACCATGCCCGCGTCCACACTCCACACAAGCGAACTCCAGTGTTCCTCCGTCTGACCTCACAACCGCCTCCTCTCTTCTTATTCATTTTCTTATATGAGAAACTTTCTTCAGCTCTACCTATCTCTGATATCACTTGTTGGATCTTGAAGAAAGATATACCCTTTCTTGAATGTAGAGTGAGAGAGGGAGGGAAGAGAGAGATGAAATCAAAATTAATGATTATTGTTTGGCTTATTGACTTCCTTTATTACAGACTATAACACTTATTTATAGACTGTAATGCAAACACAAAAGCTACATAAGAACATAAAAAAGTACCACTGAAAATCCAAACATAAATTTGTACCAACATCCAAACAGGCGCCAATCTCTTTTTCTACCATTGGATTCCTTTCAATGTAAAATCCTCATCTCTTTCATCATGTGTACTAAAAACCACTAAGTAATGAATAATAATATTAACATTATTAAATTCAATCATTTCGCATGTTGCTATGCGACACACATCAAGTTTATATATGAGCTATTTTATCTTTAATAAAAAGATGTTTTAGTTTTTTTTTTTGGGAAAAAGTTTTAGTATTACTATCTATGTTAGTTTATAACAAATAAATTGCATCACCTGTAATTAAACTTTTATACTATTGATTTGATTGCTTATTTTCAAGAAAAAAAAATATAGTTGTATGAAAGAAACATTGAATCAGATCAATCCCACCTGATTTTAATTATTTTAAGAGGGTCAACATCAACTATCCTATGAGCAGTTAATGGTTATCAATTGTGAATTTTTTGTAGTACTGCATTAGTCTAAATAAAACCATTTTCATTCAAAAAATAACCCCCAAATTAAAAACATCATTAAAAAAGAAGCAAATTTAACACTCCGAAGGTGATAATTTATTGGAACTTTAATGTTCTGAATGATAAACTGTTAATTCTACAAATATAAATAAAATCAATATTCTTTTCACGAGTAACTGCCCCAAAACAAATCGATGAAAGAGATGATCTAATCGCCTAACTACATCGTGCAAAAGATTTAACCAAACAGAGAAAAGAACTCTTACCTGTGTTCATTGATGGTGTGCTCCGAAGAAGAATGCCAATGGAGTTGCTTAAGCTTATACTCGGTGCCATTAATCCACAAACCTCCTGCATCCCCCTCCCATTTCAACTGCACAACACAAATCAATATTCACCAAATTGATTCCGGCCAAAATCTACATAGAAACAAAAAAATATTCCAACTTTACTGAAAAATTAGATCAAAAGCAGTAAAGCGTTACCATGATATCATGCCCTCTGTTCTTCATAACGGCAGGAGCTGGCCGGTAAGTTCGCCGGAGAAGGCCGAGCCCATCCACCACCTCGACCCGCTCGTCTTTAAGATCAATGGGCGACTGAAGCTTTCCGACCCCGCAAGCCGCCCAGTCTTCATGGATTTGCCCCCAGTTATCCGGCCCGTTCTCGCTCCCCACCTCGTAGCTGAACTCCTTCTCATCCTCTGTAAAGGGGTTTTACAAAATGGTAAAAAAATTCATTTTTAGTTAATTTATTTGTGATCGTGTGAAGTTGTTTTCAATATCTCCGTTTAGCAATAAAGCTGATGTGATCTAACAAATCTTATCATTGCAAATGAGCCTTTAAAAGGGAGAGTAAAAAAGAGAACTTGCTTACCAACTTCCAGCTGGCCGTTTGACAGCGGAGAAAGGAGGAGGACGATAAGGAAGGGAGAGATAACGGCGAGTTTTGATGCAGGGCCGGCCATGTTTGCCTTCTGTGAAGAGGAAATGCGTTAGCGGGCAAAGAGAGAAGGGATTTATTAGGCTGCCGGATACAAATAACGGTAGTATTTTAGCTTTATTTTATTTGCAGCAGTTGCTGGCCGAAAAAAAAAACGAGATACATATTGTTCCGTCTTTTAACGCGTCAGAGTTGGTGCGGTTTGGAACGTTACTTTGACTTTTTTGCTAAAACAGCTTAGTTTTGACAATCTTGTAAATATTATAAGGAATGGGTGGGGAAGGTGGGGAAGGTGGGGCTGATTTAGATTTGATTTGGGATGATTTTTTTATTATTTTTTAAAGTATTTTTTTTAGTACAAAATAAAATTTTTTTATTATAAATTTGATTTAAGAAACAGTAAGAAAGTAATCTCAAATAAAATCTTAGTAAGCACTTTTAATTTTAAATATAAATTAAAAATTAAATTAATTTTATCTGAGGGGCATTTTAGTACATGAAAAAAGAATGTGGTGTGAATGCATTTTAAAAGTAATATTTTGAAATTATTTGGATGAGTGTAGAGAAATTCATGACTTTATTTTTTTTATTTGATTTTGAAGTAAAGTGAATGCAATGTAAATTATAAAAATGTTATGTTTGGGTGGCAACGGTGACCGGCTACTGGAAATGGAGGGCTATGATGGAGGGTGGCGGTTGACAGTAGGGTGACGAGGCCATTGAATCATTGATGGTGGTCATGCAAGCTTTAGAGCTATTTAAATGGTTCTCACTCAAAACCGAACGAGAATGATTTATCTTATAAATGAACTAGAATAAAATACATTGCATTTACTTTACTTTACTTTGGATTTACTTTTCATCCAACCAAAAATCAAAATTTTTAAAACACATACATTCACTTTATTACACTCTCTTTACTTCAAACCAAAGAGCCCCTTAAAAAAAAATTTAAAATATCTTCTTATTTTTGAATATTTTATCTTATCAGATATCAATTTATGGTGGCGGCTGACAGTAGGGTGACGAGGCCATTGATGGTGGTCAAGCAAGCTTTTGAGCTATTTAAATGGTTTTTGCTCAAAACCGAGCGAGAATGATTTATCTTATAAATGAACTAGAATAAAATACATTGCATTTACTTTACTCTACTTTGGATTTACTTTTCATCCAACCAAAAATTAAAATTTTTAAAACCCATACATTCACTTTATTACTCTCTTTACTTCCAACCAAAGAGTCCCTTAAAAAAATGAAAATACCTTCTTATTTTTGAATATTTTATCTTATCAGATATCAATTTATAAATTACACAATATATTTTTAATTCAAATAGGATAATAATCTTGTGACGATATTTGATATTTTTAATAACAAATATTTAATTTATGCTACTCTAAAATAATAAAATTAATTTATAAGCATTTGTTAAGAAAAATTTATATCTCCATTGTCATAAATGCTAACTTGACTTGTTGTAGATCGCTAAAATATTTTAGTAGTCGGTGCTCATAGTTTAATTAATAAAGCATTTTCAACATTTTAAATTCAAATTTTTTTCTCTATCAAATTTTTGCCTAAGCTACGTACTTTATTTTTATGTAATCATGAGTCTTTGTTTGTCCCAGTCTCAACTGTGATTGATATATACTATATAAATATCCGTGCATTAAATGCACGTGATGACTAAAAATCTAAAAGTTAAATTTATATTATAAATATTTTAATTATATTATCATTATTAAGATAAAAAAATTATTATAATAATTATGTTAAGTTTTATATGATTAGATAAATAGTTTAATATGATATGAATTTTCTATCATTCATGAATTATTTTGGTATTAAATTTTGTTCATTAGGCAATAAATAGATTATTTATTTTTTAAGTTGAATTTTCTTGAAAGTTATAAGTTCTTTTTTTAATTGCTTGTTTAAAGTTGGATTTTCTTGAAAGATATAAGTTCTTTTTTTAATTGCATGTTAGAAAAATTTTAAACATTAATAATAAATAAAAAAATTAACATAATAAATTTAAGAAAAAATTACTTTTTTACTCGTTATATTTCATTTTATAAAATTATTGCTACAAAAAATTTTAAAATCAAATTATCAATGGAAAAGTTCGTAATATAATATATTTGATAAGATTAAACTTCATTTGTGATTTTTTTATCATGATTGTAATCAATAAGTCACATTATTCTCTTTATATGAGACAAGTTTTAAAAATTTTATCTTTAATATTAAAACACCATGGTTAATTTAAAAAATGAGCTAAAGCTAAACTATAATTAAATACTTTTATTAGTTTAATGTCAACTTGCATTAATTTTTTTTTTTTCATCAACCAAATTGTTCAACTCTACTTAACACTTAATTTGCCATCTAAAGCCTATTAAGTCTAAGAATAAGAAGGTTTTTTTTGCCAAATATTTTTTTAATTTAAAAAATGTGGTAGAAGGCTTATTGTAATTTGTGCTCGACAAACTGAAGCTTTGATATTCAAATTTGATCTGGACTAATGTTGTATACACAATATGTAAGCAGGTAAATGGTTTATTGCATGAAGAATTTGTTTGTCCATTCACAAGCATCATCATAGCACGAATACAAATGTGCGAACTAATAAAGCATGAAATATCAACATTGTAGTGATTGTATCAATGAAATATATTGTTAGTGCATTTAACACTCAAAAGTAGTCACTTATGTATAAAACTTTGTTTAACAGGATATATGGATCCAAATATTAAGCAATTAATGGGTCGTTAATAGCTAAGTTAGCTAAGAAAAAAAAAAAGAATAGGTTAAGATAGTTGTATGACAAATATAAAAAGAATAAATTAAGGAATGATTATATTAAATGAATGGTTGGAGTGACATTTATTGAATATGAATAGGCTTTTTTTTTGGGACATTTAGGCCAATTAAGGCAAACTCACACACACAACGCATACACAAAGACTCGAACCTTGGACCTCTTAGTTGGAAGCCTAAGCTCTCAACCAATAGGCCAAGGAGAGTTGTGTAATATGAATAGGCTTGTAGAAATGTAAGACAGATAGAAGTTGTACTTATTAGACAAAAAAAAAAATAGTGTCAGAAAATTAGGAAGATGAAAAAGTGATAATATTTATAGAATTTGTTCAAAATGATTTGAGAATAATGAACGTAATACCTTACACAAAACTCAATACGACAACAAAAACAACAACAAACTCAATATGTAAAACTCAATGTTGTTGCGTTGTGTTGTTGTACAAAGCTCAATATGAATTAAAGGGAAATAAGAATACATAAAGATGATCCTTAATAGTTATGATAAGGCTAATGTGATGATGAATGAGACATTCAAGCACAAAAGTTAAGAATAAATCAAGTAAAAATTATATTACAAAAAAGTTAGAGCGGGAGAAGGAGAAATTTTTTTTGATTTGATATTATGAGCAAACAAATGGCTTATGTTCTGTCCAAGTTGCAGAATTCACATTTTGATCCAAATCACAAAAGTGTTTCAAGTTGAATCAATGATAATAATAATAAAAAAAAAAAGAACTTAGGAACATATTTAATGACACAAATGCATGTCAAATGGCAAACCTATAATTGTTTTAAGAGTGTTCAAAGTTTAGGATGGCTGTATAGCAAAATGTTTCTTATCAACTAAAAAAGAGATAGCCTTGATTATATTAGAACTCTTAGCTTATGTTTACATATTTTTACATAGTTTTGTATAAGCGGTAATTTATATGAATTATAGTAATAATGGGTATTCTGTAAGGCTATTGAGAAGCTAAGAGCACAATAGATTCCTGATTCACACCTCAATGTCTAAAGTAAAAAAGGATGTTGAAATATTTTTCTATTAAAATAGGCAAGTTCTGAATTTTTCAAGGCTTGAGAACTAAAAACTGTGGCATAAATTTGAAACAAATATCCATCAATATGCTGCTACTTATGCAACTTTCTGTGCCTTCATCTTATAAAAATAAAGTAGGACAGTCTCTTAGCTAGGAAACACCAAATATTGACAAACATTTAATGCCGTAAACTAATACGAAGGCCTAAAACTTTTCCTAGGTTAAGGCCCAATTGAAGACATGAACATAAAAGCCAGAGCACAAAGCTTAAGCACATAGCATAAAATCAATAATTAAAAATTTTTCTTGCAATTGGGTTCAATTTTTTTTTTCATGCAATGCTCCGGCGCTATCTATGTATCCAAGCACCTTAGTACTGTGTTCTCGAGCGCCCCATTATTGAATGACAGAGAGCAGAGCGATGCAACAGTCTAAATGCGGCGTCACGACAGATCAAGACAGAGGTTCATGCACCACAACGCTTCAAACTAGCGTTGCAGCGCTTCAAACTGGTGTTGCAGCGGTGCGAGATGGAATGAGCAGTTTTCTTTCTTGTTTTTTAGAAGGGTTGCATCCCTTGGTGTTAAATAACTTGGCTCTCTCTTGTTTTTATGTGTGTAAGATATGGAGAATGATGTACGTGAGAAGAGTGGTATGAAGAGAGTCAGAGAGAAGAGAAATATGTACTTATTTCTCCCAATTTTTATAGTAAATTTTTAAATGTGATGTGACTTCGTGATTTTTTTTTCTATTTTGAATTTTTTCACATTAAATCTTGATGTCTTTTTTTTTTTTGGTTATTTTTACTTTTTTTTTTATTTGTTTCATCTCTATATTTACACCCTCATCCTTAACAGTGATTGTTGAATTTTCTGCATGTTTTTTGCTGTAAGACAGTAATCAGAAGTTGACTGCCTAAAAACTAAGTCGTCACAAAAGACAAGCTTTAAAAATTTTATCTTTAATATTAAAACACCATGCTAATTTAAAAAATGAGCTAAAGCTAAACTATAATTAAATACTTTTATTAGTTTAATGTCAACTTGCATTAATTTTTTTTTTTTTCATCAGCCAAATTGTTCAACTCTATTTAACACTTAATTTGCCATCTGAAGCCCCCAATCAAACATGTTCCAAGTTTAAAGAAGCAATTAAGCCTATTAAGTCTAAGAATAAGAAGGTTTTTTTTGCCAAATATTTTTTTAATTCAAAAAATGTGGTAGAAGGCTTATTGTAATTTGTGTTCGACAAACTGAAGTTTTGATATTCA